CATTTGACATGCGATGCCCGTACAGCGCTCGTACACTGCCAATAAATCCCTTTTCGTGCGGTAGGACTGTGCGTAGGCGGGCGGTGGCCGTGCGAGATCGCACGAAATCGTACGGATTCAAGGGTTCCGTAGCCTCAACGATTTTGTAAAGCTTGAATATTTGACAAATTTCGAAATTCGTGAGCCCATTGGTCGTACCATTATCGTAGATAGCAGTTCTCGTACGGGTACTGTTCGGTGAACATGCGGTGATCGTGATAATGGTTGCACCTGTTGTTGGTCTCTTTCCCTTCCCCCTTTACTGGTTTCATGCATGTGGCATAACAATAGTAAAGGTGTTTAACCGACAACATGTATGTATTCAAGGAAGCCAAACGGAAGGCGTACGGCAAATACACTGAGATTGAAAAGGTTCCGCACGATCACCTTCAAACCGTGACAAAAAGGTTATATCGAAGAAATGGCAAGGCACCTTTACGTAAAGTCAACGTACTCGCTGCAGCTGTTAAAAAGTCATACAGAAAATCGTATACGATTTCATCGTACGGTGCCCGTGGCAATTGTAATCTAGGCTTGATTGTCAGTAATTTTAGAGAATTACATGTAGATTACTTTCAGGAGGCCTTACAAGTTCAATGTTGTCAGATGGCAGTTTAAAGGCCGCATTTGTAAGCAGTAGGACACTGGCGATTACAGGGATTAAATTACTGTCAGGGCTGCAGAGATTAAAAAAAAGTGGAGAGTGTAGGGTTTCATTCAGAACAGGGGACTCACAGATCCGCAGAGCAAATATGGCCGTCCCACTTGAATGCTTGTTGCGTAATCCCCGCAGGAAATCTATTCAGTGTCTAATCCTGAATTAAGCGACAAGCTTTTTAGTGGGTCGCCATATTTTATCTGTGGATCTGTTAATCCACTGTTCCGAATGTTCTAGGACAGAAAAGGTTCACCCCTCTTCATTCCATCTGATAAATAGCCGTCCAGTACATAGACTGACCAGACTGACAATATCCTCAGATTCAAGATTCAAGAAGTTTTATAAGAGCCCGCAAATAAAAACAGTATTCAATGTAAGAAGTAAATTAAGTACTCAGAACAGAGCTACCGGTACAAGGGAACCAAATTCTTTTTGGAGACAAGAGTACAGACAAAATTTCAACCATTATAGAAATATGACGTGAAAACCCAACCCTAATACACCCTTCCACCGCCCTATATAGACCTGCAGCTAGCCATACACTTTGACCAATGCATCTGTTACTCAAATGCATTAAGCATTGAAATTAGCTGTGTGGTTATTTCGATGTTTTACGAGTACATGGATTTCAAGACCACCTTAATGTAATGAGAACTCTAAGGTGATTAAATTCATATGGCCAGCTATAATGTGAAAGTACACAAAAAGGACATGCTCTGTAGGCAATATCCTTGTCCTCTGTTTGCCCCTGCATGCATATTGCATTATTACATTTGACACGTTTGAAACATTTGTTCTGGTTATGTGTGACGGAAATGAAACGAGGCAATATTAAGATTTTCAGCATTAATATGGTCTGAAATTCGACACAGCGGCTTATTCAAACAAGAGATACATTTATTGCTTGTTGCAAGCAACATGAAATGAACAGCCATTGTATTGATGGGGCTCCCGTAGTTCAATGCTTGTTTTCTGAGAGACGAGCCTTAAAATTAAGTGCTGTGCATATCCAGATATAATATACTAATATGTCTAAATTAATGGAAATGTAGCTAGTGTAAACTGTTCTTTTCAACCAGGTAACCCGATAACAAAATCCGGAAAGAGAAAGCAGATGGCAAAGATGATAATTTTCACCATGTTCCCTAATGTCGTCTTGATGGGAATCACAGCTGCCATATTTGGCGAGAGAATCGCAGCCTACACCGGCATAATTAACCTTCAACAGGTACATATATATATATATATATATATGTATATACATTGTGTTATTTCATGTGTGTAAGCCTCGGTGTTACGTATAAACAGTATACATCAATGCACTTTTGACCCAAAGGTTTTAACACCTCCAAATCTATGTGTTTATGCTTACGGATGATCACCTTACGGCTGTAAACCTTTTTTTAATTTTCTGAATACAATATCCATCATGAGTAAAATCCGCTTTGTTATAAACGCTAATTCAAACTAAGATTGTCTTTTTTGTCATAAGTTTAGTTTGAAAAGTCAATGAAGCAGACCTTTTTTAACTAAGATGGTCATGCAAAGTGTTTATGAGACGTTAAGTGCAATTTGACTCAGACTTGAGAACTTAATTTGTACATTTCCGATGGTGTGTTTTGATCATCTACAGGCCATATCCGAGTGTACAACAATGGGAGCGTTTGTACGACAACTGCAAAACGAGAGAGACACAAGTGCTTTATACCACAGTTCTATTGGTAATTTATTAGATAACATGCAAAACTGGATTTTGTTTCACAAAGAACTTTTAGTCGATGGGCAATTCTGGCCAAAACACATGTTGAGAATTCAGGCCCGTAGCTGGGGGGGGGGGGGGGGGGGGGGTGTCAGAAAAAACTGCCCTTTTTGCCAGGAAAAAGTCCATTTGGGTAAAATTTTATCTAAATACACATAGGCGTCATTGTAAAGGTCCACTTTTTTTAGAAAAAGAACCACTCTTTTGAATTTGCTGGCTACGGGCCTGGAATTTATGCAGATTTAATTAGTTGCGCCTCGCAGTAGATTGTAAGAACATCCGGAACATTTCGGAGTTAAAATGAAAATTTAAGTCAAAAATTGTGGAGTCCACTCTTCTTTCATTTTTAAATCAACATGTTAAAATACACATCTAAAATTGATATGTTGAAATATACATGTAACTTTTTCATCGGACAGGCCCAGAAACAAAGAGAGCACTGATACTGCAATACCCAAAGACTGACGAAGCGCTTGAGAATATCACTAACTGGCCAATGCACATGATGAGTAGCCAAAAGCACTATCAGAGCAAAGAGAGGTTTTCTTTGTTCCTTAAGGCACACCGCTATGGCCTTGAGGATGAGCAGCAGAGAGTCCTCAGGGAGCTGGATTTCTATACATCGCATCTTGAGCTGTTCGTCAGATGGATGTACAACTTGGCGAGCGAAGAGGTAATTCTGGGAACCGTAGTGTGTTCCCCATTACTTTGTACAGCTTGCATTCGTCCCATATACTAACCCCTGGAAAATAGGCCTTTTGCAGCATATGACTAGATGTTGATTCATGTGTTCATTGTTTATTGTCCCGTCAGCCAAAAAGGCGTTATGTGATATACGACTGATAATTTTTAAAACATTGATTTTAGGTAGCTAGCGGATCCGTATGGAAGCGACTGGTCGCATACCTAAGCATAGTCCAGGCCAAGTCCGAGCTTGGAATCGAGCGTTCTATTGGTGCTATATTTTACGCTAGGGGAGGCTTCGAAACAAGAGAAACTTACTTGCGATTTCTAGAGGCGCAAGATAACGCCCAATCGATGCTTGGAGGCGCAAATCTTTACGCCGACATGGTCCAGGAAATGTACAACAAGACTTATTTGAGGAACAAGACAATGACGAATATGATCGCGGATATGAGAGAAGACATCCGTGAACGCGCGTTTACAGGTCGTAACCGTTCGGCCACATTGGCGTTGTACTGGTACGATAATTTGACCTTCCAAATTGACATTATGTTAGACATCCAGAAAGTGGTGGCGGACACGATGCTGGTGACTCTGAGGGAAAGGGCACACGCCGAGAGACTGGAACTTGTGGGTAAAGTTGTTTTTTCTCATATATTGCACTCCTCCGATGTCATAAATTTTTAATAATAATAATAAAAATATTGGCCACATTCAGAAGGGATGACCCGAGTACTTACTGATCCGCAGACTAAATATGACCGACCACAGTTCAAAAGCGATGCCGATGATTCCTAATGGTCTCCCCGACTCCACACGAGCCTGTAAACGGATTAAATCTCTGGTTCGAGGTTTAACTGCGAGGCCCCTGCAGCCATGGCACGTGTGGAGGCGGGGAGGCCATCAGGAATCAGCGGCATCCCTTTTGAACTGTGGTCGGCCATATTTAGTCGGTGGATCAGTGAGTACTTGGATCATCCACTCTGAATTGGCCATTTTATGGCCTCATTCAGAATAGGGTTCTTACTAGTCCGAGGGTCAAACATGACCGACGCACGTGAATACTTCCCCACGGATATCTATTCAGTTATATTAGCGGATTAGACGGCAAGCTTTGTAGTGGGTCGTCATATTTGACCCTCGGACTAGTAAGGCCCTTATTCTGAATGGGGCTATACAAAAGGAAATCGCACATGCCTCCCACCCCAAACCCCTAAATTTGAATAGAAAACGCGGTAATATCAGTGTGCCAGAGGGTAATATCAGCCACTCGGTATGCTAACTGGAAACGTGGGCTTGAAACTGGGTACGCAGCAGGAGACAATAGGCACTACCATAATGACATAATTACCATATCCCACCTGCTGTCGGTAACCAGGATGTTGGAAGGTATATCTGCGTCACCAGAGTAATTTTCATGGAAAAGGCAGTTTGCTTGGTTTCACAAATGCCCACATTGGCCACCCTGAGCTTCAGAGATAACTTGACACTAACCTCTTCACTATAGCCTATCTTCATCGTGTCAAGTTACCTCTGACCACATTCGACTGCCTCCGCCGCCCGCCAATCAAATTTAAAGCCCGCACTCAATGACTCATTGAACGATCTAGCCAATGAACGCGAACGAGTCAAAGCGCGCTTTGTTCAAATCCGGACCAATCAAAGNCCCACCCTGAGCTTCAGAGATAACTTGACACTAACCTCTTCACTATAGCCTATCTTCATCGTGTCAAGTTACCTCTGACCACATTCGACTGCCTCCGCCGCCCGCCAATCAAATTTAAAGCCCGCACTCAATGACTCATTGAACGATCTAGCCAATGAACGCGAACGAGTCAAAGCGCGCTTTGTTCAAATCCGGACCAATCAAAGATAAGGCTGGACTTGCCGTAACCTGTGGGCAGCACGCAAAATACATCATCCCTCAGTAGATAATTATGCAGGGCACCAAACTGCTCTGGTTTCAATTCCGATATACTCCATGCTTTCTTTGTGTACGGTTATGCACTCGGAACTACTCGGATGTCTCCGCACTCGACAATAACTATGTTGTTAGTATGGAGCTTGCGGAATCAGCCGAGGATTGCCGATTGACGGTCAACCAATCAGCGTTTTCACCAAACTTTGGTGAAAAATTTTGAAACATGGATTCGATTGGCTTATATAAACTAGGTCAAACTATTTTCGTCAGAGGTAACTTGACACGATGAAGATAGGCTATAGTAAAGAGGTTAGTGTCAAGTTATCTCTGAAGCTCAGGGTGACATTGGCTGAAATTCCTAGCAAAATAATTACAGTTGATTAATAAGAGTACGCACCCACGACGTTATTGGTGTTTGTTCGGGTTAAAGTCAGCGAAAGTACAGGGGAGCCATTGCGGGTTCGCTCCTATCCACGACGTCAAATGAAAACGTTCTTCCTTCTCACTGACAACGTCACCTTGTAGTTTTATGTCCTGTTACGAAATTGAAGATCCGTGAAACAGAAATCCCGCCCTCCACTTGGTTATAATGGTTAGGGTTAGCCTGACCTAAGTTGGTCAAAATCTAGGGCGAGGCTTACAGGTAGGCCTACCTGTACGATTGAATGGGTAGCGGACTCTCTATCTTTGGGTCATGGGGTTCTCTGTCATGTTACACCGGGCGCTGTATTTTATGCCGCACAACGCCAGTTCCGAAACCATACATGAGGCTTTGTTTAAAAACCTACATGTATACAGAGCATTTCTGGAAGGATTACTTTGGATGTTTTTTATTCTTATCGTTTGATTCACATCGATTTTTAGTTTGAACGTAAATGATTTATCAGCTACTTTCAAGGCAGGAAAAAAGGTTGTTAAACTATTAAAGATGAATGTATCATCTCGTATGGCTTGGCTTTTTGGACATGCCAACTTGAAAACCCTTAACATGTTATAAAGCGATAGGGTTTTACTCACTTTCATAAGTTTTCCACAAGTTAACGTCCTGCTATTTAAATGATTACCACCAGGGTCGACAGCGGGGTCTCTCTTGTGTAATACCCAGGTAGCCTAGTAACTGGTCAATATCTTTAGAAAATTTAAAAAAAAAAATAAAAATTTGTCAACGTGTACCGCTTATTGTGAAAAAAACCTGTTAAACTGCTAATTCTCCATGTTTTTTTCTAGGGGAGGGCGTTGCGTTTATGATAGCCCTATTGCTGTGCCCCATGATAACGAAAGCCATTTACATGATTACCAGCCAAATGCAGGGGATTTCCATGATGCTGTCTGCCAAGTGAGAATAGCGCCACATCTCTCTCTCTCTCTCTCTCTCTCTCTCTCTCACACACACACACACACACACACACACACACATCTGACAGCATTTTAAGTACAATTATATTTAACTCTCAGCTCATTAAGACTTGATTGCAACGCGAAATCCGCCTCTAATCCGCCGATGTTAATTTCACACAAAGAGTCTTTGACCTTTATATTGCAAAAGCCGATTGTCCTAGAAATGTATACGTTTTTAATGGTCACTAATGCGCACCATACCTAGACCCAACAACAGAATTACAATCTATATAACGTTTTTTTTCCTAAGATTCTAGATTTTGAGTCGCTCATGTTATGGACATGGCGACTGAGACTGATGAATTTAGCATGCAAAGGTAAAAAGAAAAATTCAGAACTCGAAAACTGGTTTATAGATTGCAATTTGTCCTGAGGTTCCAAATGCGTTATTGGCGGTTGAGGAACAATCATGAATGTTTTTTTTTTTTCTATACTATGGTCGAAGGATTTTCATTTGTCTTTAAGTATATAATAACAGTTAATTACTTTGGACCATCTAAGTCCCATTGGTCTGATACGGAAGATCTGCGCGTGAATCAGAGAGCAGAGATTACATTACAAAGATCACATAGATCATAGCAGATTGGTGATTGGCTTTTGAGATCTGATTACGGAGGAGATTGGAGGGATGCAATCAATCGTCTTAGTTTTGAATTCTAGGCTGAAAAAATGTTAACTCTGACTTTGCCTATTCCTGTGATTACATGTATCTGATTTAAAAACATGAGAACATCAAGAGTCTACCATTTCCCAGGCCTTTTGATAACGTTCAATGCCAGTGCATAGTATTTATGACATCCTCCCAAAGAGGTGTGACATTTGTGAATTTTCAATCAGTAAAATCAGAATACGACCATTAACATTTATACTGTGGAATGAAAACAAGAAAATACTTTTAATACTTAAAAGTATTCGACAATCTGTTGTTGTTTTTTTTTTCTTTACTTTCGGGCGTTAATGGTTTTAACAATATTAACTGCTTAATGTCTTTTATTGCAGGACGAGGGAACTGAACAAAGAAAAGAAACGCACCGACACCCTTCTGTACCAAATGTTACCCAAAACGATCGCCGAGTCACTAAAAAGAAACGAGGACGTTGTCGCCGAGCTCTATCAAGATACGACGATTTTCTTTTCAGATATCGTTGGCTTCACCGACATATCGTCCCGTGCCTCCCCATTTCAGGTAAAACTCGAGGTATAGTACGAAAATATGTGAAGGTGCCCCGATGAGAAGCGGTGCTAAAATTTGTAAATAAAAGAATGACGACGTTCAGGCCCGCAATTTCAAAGAGGTTTTTTTTTCTAAAAAAACAAAGGTAGACCTTTACCATGAAACATTCGCCTACCTAGATCAAATTTTACCCAGAGTGGTCTTTTTCATGGCAAAAAGG